AACTAGATGACCCAGGATGCTCTGGGGTGCTCTGGAGTCATGGGGTACAGGGGGGCACACTGGGGCAACTAGATGACCCAGGATGCTCTGGGGTGCTCTGGAGTCATGGGGTACAGAGGGGCACACTGGGGCAACTAGATGACCCAGGATGCTCTGGGGTGCTCTGGAGTCATGGGGTACAGGGGGGCACACTGGGGCAACTAGATGACCCAGGATGTTCTGGGGTGCTCTGGAGTCATGGGGTACAGGGGGGCACACTGGGGCAACTAGATGACCCAGGATGCTCTGGGGTGCTCTGGAGTCATGGGGTACAGAGGGGTACACTGGGGGTAACTAGATGACCCAGGATGCTCTGGGGGTGCTCTGGAGTCATGGGGTAAAGAGGGGCACACTGGGGTAACTAAATGAAACAGGATGCTCTGGAGTTATGGGGTACAGGGGGGCACACTGGGGGTAACTAGATGAAACAGGATGCTCTGGGGGTGCTCTGGAGTCATGGGGTACAGGGGGGCACACTGGGGGTAACTAGATGAAACAGGATGCTCTGGGGGTGCTCTGGAGTCATGGGGTACAGAGGGGCACACTGGGGCAACTAGATGACCCATGATGCTCTGGGGTGCTCTGGAGTCATGGGGTACAGGGGGGCACACTGGGGCAACTAGATGACCCAGGATGCTCTGGAGTCATGGGGTACAGGGGGGCACACTGGGGTAACTAAATGAAACAGGGTGCTCTGGAGTCATGGGGTAAAGAGGGGCGATGACCCGCAACTAGATGACCCAGGATGCTCTGGGGTGCTCTGGAGTCATGGGGTACAGGGGGGCACACTGGGGTAACTAGATTAAATAGGATGGTTAGAGGTCACTAGGTGAACCCCAGTGACCCCTATGGATTGGAAGAGTGAATAGGGCTTAATAGACAGATGTACTGCTGTCAGGAACTACCCCTCCCCCCCTCATATCGGCTGCTTCATTATCCCTAGAACCTGTTTGTAGTCTCCGATGTCACTGATTGAACCGTCTCTCTTCCAGGGTATGTACATCAAATCTACGTACGACGGCCTCCATGTCATCACAGGAACCACGGAGAACGTAAGTCACCATCATCAATTTTTAGGCAAGAAATGTGACCCACAGATCCCGGAATTGGGCTTTAAGCTTGGCCACCCAGTTAATGTCACTCGGGAATCTTAGGTGATCTGTGGATTTGGGCAGCAGGATTGAGCAGGGAGGGTCTGTATATCATGCCTAGAAATGGCAAAGTACAGGTTCACTTTAAAGAGGGAGGAGCTGTTGGGGCCCCCTGTCTTCACGGGGCCCTGGTGTGGTTGAACCCTCTATAGTGACCCCCATATACACCAAAAGGATCCAAGGGGAAATGTGCGTAGGAACATCCGACGTGTCAGTGATCGCACTCTCGGGATATTGACCACCCGCTGGCCGCCTCCGCGTCGCTTTATTCTGTATAATGGAGTTATTAATGTGAAAAATTAACAATAATCTGCCCGGAAAATG